GTTTTATTTCAAATAAATAAATAAAATTAAATGTTACAAATACATTATTTTCAGAGAAATTAAATAAACTTAATTTCCTTAAGTATTGATCTTATATTTTGTCACATTTATTTATTTATGTTATTGATTTTGTGTTTCAATATTATTTTATTATAATAATAGTTTAGTTTAATAGTTTTGTAAATTACTTTATTATAAATATATTATAATACGAAACACTGCTATTATTTATTGAAAATCTAATTTACAATAAGCTTATTAATTAACTCAAAATTCAATAAATTGCATTTGCTTTCTAATAATAATTATTTTATTACATTTATTATTTAACTTTTTATATGAGTTTCAATAATCCTATTTAAAGATTTAATAAATTAACATTTTAGAAATTTTTACAAGTTTACAAAACAAAATAATCAACTATAATTATTGATAACATTTACTTTAATGAGGTTAGTGATAGATGTTAGATATAACTTTACCTTTATCAAATGTGTACTAGTGTACTTTAATTATACAATAGTACCTTATTTCACAATATTTAATTACACATAACTAGATTTTATTCAATTTAATTGTTTGCAATTAGTTTGACAATAATAATTAATGCCATTTAAATGTATGAAATAGAAACAAAGTCTAAGTTTTAATAAGAAATATAAATAATATATTTTAATATAAAAGTAATTTTCCTATTGACTATAAATTATAATTTAAGATAATTATTGTTGTCAATAAAAATAATTATTTTGTTTTCATTTATTTATAATTTATTAATTGTCATTAATTGTCACAATTATGAGGTTTATTAAAATAATTAAATAACAAATTTTGCAAATTACATTACCTTCACTTATTTATGAGGTTTAATAAACAACTTTCTATTTTACAAATGAGATTCACACTTTTATAATAAATAATCTACCTAATACTCCGCCAATGTTTAATTTAAAACTGTGAAAATATGGATATTAAATTTTATATGAAATATACATTGTTCATTTATATATGAAATGTATTATTAATATAGTTGTAGGATTATCAGTATTAATAGAAAAGTTCAAGTATACTAAATTAATGTTAAAATTATATTTATTTTAAATGAACATGTTGAAGAATTTATTCAAAATTATTTGCAGACTATTATGTTTAATGGGATGTATGTATCATACGTACAAAATAAGTTTATTATACTTGTCATATCAGACCACTACTAATGTTAAGTACGAGTCCAATGCTACCTATACTCTACCGGCTATTACTCTATGTTTTGAAAAGTTCTCCCTGGTAAATGATGGATTTATTGAAAATTATAACAGAAATGAAAGTATTAACAAAACCAACATTAATATCAATCAATATTTGAATACATTATCCGTAAGACAACAATTTGAAGCCATGAGAGCGCCGGAAGATCTGTTTAATTGTGAAGTCTATAGAAATCAGATTAATAATAATGGCATTGATTTGAATCACAAGTATTATACGAAATGCACTGACCAGGGTCCCTATCGTATCGGAATAGATGGTAACAAGTATTGTCTGACTATACTCTCACAAAAATTCAATTCAATTAACGGTTTCGAAATTAATTTATCCACAAATCTACCTGATTTTATAATCATATTTATTGTTAAAAATAAGAGTTATATCGGGGACAATTCAATTCTTGTACAAATGAACCCCATACACGAGATTGTTTATGACACTCATAATAAAGGTGTAAGATTCATTAATAGTACAGATGTTAATTCATGTTCTCTAGAGTTTAGCACAACTATCGTTAAATACCAATACGACTGGCCAGGGATTATCATATGTAATGCATCTCTTATTAGACATACTTGTATCTACCGGTGCATTCATGATAGATATACCAATGAGACAGGTAGATTATCACATGGCATTGTGGTATATGATAGAGAATCGGAATATAAGTTTAATAATAAAAATTATAATACAGTGTTGACTGGTTTGAAACAATTTTGTAGCGATTGGTGTAAACCGAGAGTTGACTGTTATAAACCTTACTATAAATTTAATAGTAGAACTTATTTTTATAATGGACTAGCCAGGGACAATTTTATGTTTACACTCCGGGTGCCCACTGAACCCATACTAGTCTATGAGATACAACTAAAGCTAACAGTCGAGGAATACGTGTGTCTTATGGCAAGTGTTGTGAGTTTATGGTTTGGATTCTCTGTCATTATGTTAACCGAGTATTTGTGGCATATGTGCACAAAATGTTATAATTATATGCATAGAAATGATATCCAATTCAATGTTGTAATCAAACCGGTGCTTAAAATGTTTAAATTGAAATCTATTAGAAAGTGTTTAAAATTTAAAAGACAGACAAAAGTAATCATAATTAAGTAAATTTATTATTTATTTTCCAACAAATGAATAATTATTAATGAATTGCTAATTAATAATGTTTCAAAAATATAAAAATAAAAATATATTATTATATTCAAACAAGTTTTATTTATTTTCCAACCTACTGTATTTGCTTATACGGTACATGTAAGTATTTCAATTTACAAAATTGAAATTCATAATTATATTTTCACTTAAATAATGTTACAGTACAAACAAATGTAATATTCTAAGATTTGTATTTTGAATAAAAAAATTAATAAAAATAAAATGTTTAGAAAATACATATTTAATCATAAATATTAAATGATAACAAGACTATTAACCAAACCATTGACCACTACTTGAATACATTATCCATAAGAAGACAGTTTGAAGCCATGAGGAAACCGGAAGACCTGTTTAGATGTCATATTTATCACAATAATAAGACTGTTCCTAAAAGTCAACATGCTTTATTTCACAATTGCTTAAACGTGGGTCCGTATCGTATATCACTAAATGGTGACAAGTATTGTCTCACCATGTTCGCAGAGCACTGGTATAGTAGCAATGGGTTTAATTTCGATTTGACTTACAGTCAATTGCACTTTTTCTCTATATTTGTCGTTGCAAATCGGAGTAATATCGGGGACAATTCGTTGTACATACACGTACACTCCCCGAATGAGTTTGTATTTCATTATTTTCAAAGAGGAGTCATTTATATAAACATTACGGATACCAATATATGTAACGTGGAGTTCAGCAAAACTATCGTAAAATACCAGTACGAATGGCCAGGTATTATATTGTAATTAACTTTACTTGCCGAATTACCATGAACATAATCTTCACTAGTTTATTAGATAAATACACAGTAAGAATATAATTCAATATAATAGTAATTAATACATTTACAGAGAGACATAATATAACGATTTAGTTTTAGTTATTTTTAATACATTATTTAAAAATCATTTTAAAAATAAAAATCTTTTTATAACAAACTAAACATCTCTTACATCCTTATCCTTAAACTCCCGTCCCATAAATGTGCGGTAAACTAAAACAATTCGGTAGGTATGGGCACAACAAACGTGTTGTTATTTTTAATTAAAATACTATTCAGTGTCAGAAAAAACCGGAACTTTAGAGCAAAATTGGAAATTAGAAAAATTGTAATATTTAATACTGTGATATAACTAATGTTCCCAAGTCCAAAAATCAAATTCCTTGAGAATCCTTAGTTTCAAACAAAAAATGTCCTAAGTTTCCATGATCTTTTAAAAAGTGATCATAAATTTCCTTGAGGTCCATTGAAATGAGCATATTTATTGAAAATATTTCCTTGAGCATATGACCGATTCCTTGAGAGTCCTGCTTGAACCTTGAGATTTGGGAACCCTAGATATAACCTCATTAATGATATAATTCATTATGATATAACCTAAATCTTAAGAGTTATTTTAAATTGGCTAAACGGATAATGAATTTTTAAATGATTAAAAACCATTTTTATAATATTAAAAATAATAAATTTATACTATATTGGATAAACTGTAATATTGAATATAAAATCTATATGATATCACCTAAAGGTTTAAAGTTATTGTAAATTGGTTCCTACGTAATGTTAACTAAAATATTTTTAAAAATAATTATTTGATTCTAATGAAAGTTACGGTAAATTTTTTTAGATACGGTAGTGTTTTACATTATAAACATTGTTTTTGAAAATTATTTATTTTAGATATTCTGTGTTGTTTAACGTTATTATATTAGATTAATATTAAAATCTGTATAAATTATTGAACTTGAGTAAAAAGTTTGAAACATTTATCAAATAAAAAAGTATAATTCATCAATCATAGTCATCAATGAAAAGGTTGCTTGATATTGTTATATACCTGCTTGCTAATTAATATACCTCCATAGTTTTTAATTCATATAATTGCATCTGAATACAAATTATCGTACTTTTAAATAAATTACTTAGAAATTTTGGATTTAAAAAATATTTTACACAATATATGGTTTAGATATGAATTAAATTTTACGTAAATTATATTTGTAGTTGTAAATTAGGCATGATACAACACTGTTAAAAACGTAAAAATGCGTCCATTATAATAATAGTTATGATATTTCTATTGAAAAAGCTGCAAAAATATAATGGAAAGCCTGTAATATATATTTAAAATATTAGATATATTAAATTAATTATTTTCATATTTAGTTTTTGGACACAAATCTGCTCATAGTTAATTTTTGTTTTAAATAGTTTATAGTAGATCTTTAATCTATTCTAAATAATAAATGTTTAAATTGCAACCAGGTAATAAATGTAATCAAGTTTACTGACCAAACTTATCATGGACGTGGTTACAGCTTGTTTATTTACACACCATAGCAAAATAATCTAATATTTATATATTACCTTCTACATAAATTAACAATGAAAAAATAATTCAATAGAATAGTAATATACAAGTAATACATTTACATGGAGACAAAATTGAACAATGTCAAATTTATTTAAAAGTTATTTTTAAATAATATTTACAAATAATTTAAAAAACAAACATTTTATGACATATTAACATTAACCACACCCCTTTTCTTAAACACCCGTCCCATTAATGGGCGGCAAACTGAAACAACTCGATAGGTATGGGCACAATAAACGTGTCGTTATTATTCACGGAAATAGTATTCAGGGTCTGAAGGTATCGGAGCTGAAGAGCAAAGTCGTCCAGTTTGACGGCCGCCTCAACCAAGGAATGGGAGGCGTCCTTCTCGCCATAGGCCGTGATGTAATTGGCTTTAGCCTCACGACTCGCCTGAGCCTCGGCTGATAGGGCCGACTGCAGGTCCGCCGGAATCCTCACGTTCTTTATGTCTATGCGATCGACACATACGCCCCAGAATTCGGTGGCCGCGTCCAGATGTGCCTACAAAAGTGAGCAATAAATGAGCATGGTGCTTATGAAGGTTAATTTTTAAAATTATTAAGTTGATTATTATGATAGTATTTGTTTAGCTGTGATTTATATACACTTAATGTGATTGATTGTAAAATTATATTTTAATAAAATGTGAGTAGACACATTATAGGGAACGTGAACCCAAATAATATTGTGTATTATTAACTGATATTATGTATATATTCTTGATTGTAATTTTTTTAGATAATAGTAATGAATACGAAACATCATTGATTAATGTTCATGGGCTATAGAGCCCAGTTACTAATACAGTACGTATAACATTAGTAATTGTACTACCGGCTGCAAAATAAGCCTAAGTAGGAATGACCCTTATCAAATGTAAAATGTAAAATTAATAATTTTTGTAGATATTCTAGTATTCTGTATTATAATTAGATTTAATTTCAGTAAAAACTAAATTCCACTTGAGTCCTATAATATTACAACAATTAAAATTAATATTTATGATTATCAATGTAATACAAGAAATTGTATGCCCTTTGCACCTCATATTCTTATTACGACTGACCTTGAGCATTTCACCAAAGTAATAACACGATTATAAAAACTAGAAATTATTTTTTATTCAAATAAAACTAACCTTGAGCGTTTCATTAATGTCCGAACTCTCAGCCAGTATTTGTGCCAATGTTTTAGTGCCCAAAAAGTTTCTAAGACTAGTGGCGGCCAATAGTTCCGTCGCTTTACTATAGCTCTGGACTTTAGTTGTGGCGGCGATTGCGTTGTGAACCCTATAGAGGACTACGGCGTCCACATCGATGGTCATCGAGTCCTTTGTGAGCACTTTCTGGGGTGGGATGCCGTAGCATACGGTGCGACAGTCTATGATGTAGCACAGGTCCACGTATGGGATCACGAATACCGCCCCCGGACCCATACCATTAACTTTTGAAAACATTATAGTGAGTAATTTTAGCATGTTCATATTTTATTCATTTTAATTGTCATGCGACTAATAGCTTATGTTTTTCATTAATATATTATCACCGTGTTTAAAATTAATGTTTATGTTAATATTATGTAATCTAGTTAGATAATCTTAAAAAGTCTGATCTTAATATAAAGCTTATCTAATGACTGTAAAATATAAACAGAATCAATTTTCTCATAATTGAAATTGTTTAAATTCTTTTTAATGGGCATGCTACACAATTATTATTTTATTAATTTTGTATTATTTTATCATTGTCTATATTTTATATAAACATTTTTAAATAGTTAGTACAGTAGTAACTTTTTAAAAAAATCTAAAGTATAATAGTAAAATTAATCCATAATTGATCAAAAACGTGCAATAAGGGTCTATCAATTTTATTTATAAAATTATTATTTTCTATCTAAATATAGTGTTTAAATTCAATTTATATAAAACAAATATTCAATAAAATGATTATAAACTATTAATCCAGTGATTATAAACTATGTTTATTAAGTTTAGATTAAGAATTGTATTAAACTCAATGTATTGGGGGTTTAATATATTTTCATTAAGTTTGGTAATAATTTCATTATTAATTACATTTTTGTAAATTTTGAAAATTTAACTACCTATAATACTCATGATTTTATTATATAGTTAATAATATTCAAAATTACTATAAATAATAATTTAATATAGTTTAAAAGTAATTAAAACTTTTGTAATTGTAAATGCAATGTAAACTGTAATAATAAACAATTCGTTCATTTAATACATTATACTTCAGACATAGATCCTTATAGCATGATTTCGTTCAATTATTATAATATTTTTTATAAATAATATTTTCGGTTATATTTATAAATACATACCCTGCCGTAACCTGCCGTTCCTGAATAGGACAGCCTTTTCATAGTCATTAGTAATGATGAAACAGAAACACATAGAGAGTGGAAATGTGGACATAAGTAACAAAAGGACCGCAAATATCATTAGAGTTCCGATTATTGTTGAACACAACGAGTCGTCTTCCGAACTACTCGTGACCGACAGTCGCCTCCCGGGGGTTAGGATTGGTGTGGGAGTGACGGCACGACTCCTACTACTGGCCCCTAATGTTGACAACTCGTACGAGTCGACTAAATTGGTACGGGAGGTGTAGTTAGAGTTTGGGTTCCCAGTGGTTGGCTTCATATTTGTGTTATTTTATGCTATAATATAGTAAATGTTAATAATTTTAATAAATTTTAAAAAGTCATTTGTATACCTTGGTAGAATTGTTTTAAATAATTAATTAAAATTATATAATAATACTAATAAAGTTTATAAACATTATAATTATAATAAAATATTGTAGATACTTACTATCAGTGTTAGACAATAATTTTAGTATATTTAATTAATGTAATTATTTTTGAATATAATAATGTTATGTTACAGTTCATTCATAATATCATCATTGAGTTGTAAAATATGTGATTTTAACAATTATAAAAATGTTATTGAACTGATACAACAAATGATAAATACGTAACAGGTACAAATAGTATTTTAAAAATATATTTAGCATAAAATGTTTTGATTTACGTAATACAATTGCGCATATTTAGTATTAAGGTGTTGTCTTAATTGATATTTATTTATATAATATTATATTTGTATGTTTGTTATATTCAATATAAACATCGTTTCCATCGTTTCCTATAATAATAATAAAAAGTTGTGATCATAAAATCTACATTTGTCATTATAAATGTATAACACATTAACAATGAGTTAACAATACATTACTTATTCAAAGTGAAGTATTTGTATGAATGTAGAAACTGTATGATAATAACCATATTTTGAAAACACAATATAATTTATCATTTGATTTCATAAATATGGTAGAGACTTACTCGATGAATTAAAAATTATTAACTTTATTAAAGCTTTTGAAATTATTATTTCATTATTAATAATAATAATTTTTAAATCACAAATTAAATGCAACAATTAGTGTACCACCTAATGTTTTTAAAACCCATTATAATTCATTTA